GTTGAGATACACACATCAGGAGAAGTTATAGATTTACCCACATTAAACGAACTATTATTTGCTGACGACCAGTGCTTGTTCTACCCTGAAGAAGACAGACTGTAAGACCACATTACCAGGTTAAACTCAGCATGCAGTAAATACAACATGAAGATCAATGTAAACAAAACCGAAACAATGCAAGCTAGTAGAACCCCTGCCACACTACACATACGGCTGAATGGTTCTGCCCTGAATCAAGTTAGGGAGTTTAAATATTTAGGAAGTATGATCACAGAAGATGGTAGAATTGACAGAGAAATAGAAACCAGATGCCAGAAAGCAAGTGCACTTATATACCAATTGTCACCATTATTAAGACATCCAAGCATAACTATGAGTGCAAAGAGACAGATTATTAATAGCATATTTATTCCAACATTAAGCTACCAGTGCCAAACATGGACACTATCTAAAGCCCATATACGCAAAATCATCACCTGCGAGATAAGGTGCCTGAGAAAAGCAGCCAACCTAACCATCCGAGATTGACTGAATAATGACACTATCAGGCAAACTGTGGGAACGACACCTTGTACTAGATTCATCGAGAAACAGCAGATCAAGTGGTTTGGCCATCTTGTTAGACTGCCGCAAGATCAAATACCATCACAAGCACTACATCTCAGAAGACCAGCCTGAAACAAGCCGTCCTCAGGCAGTAATGGTCCACCGATGGTGACTGCAGAGGTTGGGAAAGCAGTACATCATGAGGGGAGGGGCACCCCGGCCGGACCGCATCTCGCTGGGGGAGGTCGGGGCACTGGGAGATTTTGGAATTGAGGTGATAACTAAACTTTTGAATGATATTTGTAGTGGTGGGTATGAGGTCCATATTTGTGGCTCTGCCAGGGAGGCTAGGCGCTTTGGGATGTGAAGACCATCGCACGGTGGGTATTGTGGGTCACATGACTGGAAATTTGCCGAGAATAGTTATGAAATTACTACTACAACTCTATAACTATCTAGCAATTTCTACGTGAAACAGCTTACCCACTAACATAGAATCAGAAATGTGGGAGTATACATTATCCAAATTAGGATTCCCAAAAAAAAAATCAATTGCCTGATTAGAACACTGACTACGCAGGTTACGTGTGGACGTCGCAAAGGTGCGCCCCCAACAGCGCAAAATGAGTTATCAATTTCTTATCCTAAGTGTGCATCCCCCCCCCCTCCCCCACAAACTGAAGCTGTCCTGGTAAATTTGACAACTCCCCACCACATACAGCCCCCTTAACCCAGTTATCCCCGCAGCGAATGCCCTGCCCAGTTAATTACCTGGTAAACAGAGATATATTTTAACGGAAGCAATAACATCCATACAAAAGTTTCTGAAATAACTATTCGATCTGTTATTCCACGGTTATAATTTATCAATATTTTTAACATATTTCGCTCGTTCGAATGAGTATTCATTCTGCTTTTAGGAAAACTTTACTGCGAAGAAACTTAACAGCCTCGGGCAAATGCCGGTCAGTTTACCTCTGGCATTTGATGTTTCCATTGAATTAAAGTGCGACGGCTCAGTTAAAAAGCATTGTGTCCCACAATACTCGTTCTTCCACGCATCAGGTTTTGAATTATTCGATCGGTTGTAATGAATGGTTCTTTAAACCTCCCACAATGACAGATAAAAATTCCTATTTATCTGTTTAAGGACAGCAAGCAGGTTTTTGCTATTCCTAACTGCTGATGGGAGAGTGCAATATTTAGTACTCAGCATTATA